TGTCATATGAGGGAATTCTCTCATATAAAATAATGTTGATTAAATCTTTGCCAAGTAAATAAAGGGAAAAGAAATCCCTCGTAAAGACTTGCGATCACATTATTATTTATGAGAGAATCCCGTCATATAGTTAATTGTTGCTAAGTGGGTATTCATCTTGTCAAATGAGCTACCTTATAGATAGGAATATCGAGGTGCAATTCATAACTGTTGGGAAAAACCCGTGTCAAGGAACCAAACCAACCGTCGATCAAAGAAGTCAAAATCCAACCAAAATCAATGCACAAACACCAAACACCAGTTTTAACGTGGTTCGACAATTGCCTACGTCCACGGGGCAAGAAGGGGATGGGTTTTTTCACTAATAGAGAATAAGAATACAAATTGAGATTACAAATCACTCGAAGGAACAAACTAATCTCACCACAAAGCTCTTAATCTCTCCAAATAAACCCTAAATAAATAGCTCAGAAAATACCTCTTTTCTATGCTCCAAATATCCCAAACTCTAGCCTTCAGAAACCCTAGAATGTATATTCGTATTTATACAAATACCAAAATCTAAATCAGAACAGAAAACTCAAACTAGGCCTGACCCGTTACGCGATCGACTGTCAAGGTCAACCGCGACCAGCAAACATAACCTAGAAACTCCTACAGGGTCTTGCGGTCGACCGCGATAGTCGATCGTGACAAACGACAGAGCCCAAAAATGTCCTACAGGGTCTCGCGGTCGACCGCGCCAAATCCAGACTCCTCCCAGAGTCTGTGCACGTTCGCGATCAACCGGCCTTGCTCCGCGATCGACCGCGCAGCTCCCAAACTGACTCCTGCGGATCCCAACACATGTTCTGCATCAAACTTCTTCACGGTTTCTTTAATTCTCCACCTCGGTGAAGTTTCTTCCAAAACTGAGCCGACACCAACCAAACCAAATGCCTCACTTGTTACATCCAGTACGAAGTGAAACTATTCACGACAATGGACTCAATCCATAACAAATCGAGACCTAAACGGGAGTGCGAACACTCATCCAAACGTCGATGTCTCTCACCAAATCAGCTGCATCAAAACTGACTGCATACATATTCTCTTACCCGAGCAATCAAGCCTTCACGTAGTTCACCCAATGACCTTCAAAGGCCCTAAATCCAATAGAAGAGCATGCAACCCTCCTCCATCATCACAAAATATGCGACTGATAGCACCTCTAATGACCTCAAACTGAAGCGATCTAATCACCTCTACCTGAGGTGAACCAATGGTTATGTCCAAACTACGCCTGTCAGCTGCACTCAAAACAATCAACACGTTATCTGCATCCGAAACCGAATGACCCCCATCCTGTGTCACCTCAGCTGAAGTCCTAAATAATACAGAATGACCTGGAGTATGTGGAGTAATATCCACCCAGTGTGGAGTAGCATCACCCTCCACCCGCTATAATATCCAACTGATCTGATCAACACTCTCCACCTGCCAAGAGTCCAATGTGGCATACCTGCTCAGAAAGAAATCAGAAGCACCCAAATGATAACCAAACGAGCCTCTGAATCCCAAGCGTGCAATCGGATCAAATTTCACATCATTGATGTGACCAAGTGCTGGGTAACTAAATATCCGACGCCAACCAAAATCTAAAGCAGCTCCACCAGATCCAAAATCACTAAATACAAAAGTCGACAACCTATGTATAAGATGACCCAAATGTGTCGAAGCCCGAATACCAAGTCCAATGCTCGACAACCAACACCGATCCTCCTCCAGAAAGGAACAGCTCATCAAATCTGTCATCTCATATTGTCGCCTCAATGTCTCCTCTCTAATGAAGTGTCTCCAACTGCTATGAGCTCGGTACAAATGTAAAAAGAAACCCCTACTCGAGCTAGTACGATAGATAACTTTTTGCCAACACACTTCTCCCAACTATTACGGACTACTAGGACTTCAAACCAATGGGGCTTGGTTGCGACCCATAAATGCCTAGTACAATCCCTAACTACAACAACCAAAAAATGATTACCTCCCAATGATGCCTCCTTGGAAGGCCCCCAAATGCCTGACTGAACACCTCCTAAAAGACCCATCGATCTATGGATAGAAGTGCCAAACTCCACCACGGTCTTCTCGCTCATCCCAATGTGCTCAAAGGACTTCCATTTGTAGGTCAACGCACTCCTCAACAACCTATGCACAGCATCGCCAATCAAATACCCTAGCGTCAAACAACACCACAGTCTAGCCAAATCCAATGAAGTCGTCAGCGTTCTATCAATCACCGTGCTCCCAAGCAAATAGTACAAGTTACTCCTTCTGATGCCCTTCATCAAAATCATGGACCAAAATGTAACCTTTAAACGTGCATCTGCTAAGGTCACCCTATAGCCTGTTGCCTCCAAAACTCCAAGTGAAATAATGTTCTTCTTCAATTAAGGAATGAACCTTACTTCAACTAACTCCCGAATCACCCCGTCACTTATCTGAATATGAACAGAACAGATACTACCAATAGGACATTTGCGATCATTATCCATGAGTACAACATCCCCTCTTTCCAACTCCTGAAAGCTGGAGAACCAATCCCTCCTAGGGCAAATATGGTATGAGACACCCGAATCCAACATCCACTCAGTGGAGTCAGTAGCACAAACTGACGGAAGTGCTAGGCACGAATAGCTCGAAGAATCTGAATCTGAAATATCACCACTAGCCTTGGTAACATTCACCTCTGAAGCTTCAATCGCTTCCCCCTTATTCTTCTCGGCTCGATCATTCAATTTTGGGCATTCGGCTTTTCAATATCCATCTTCTTTACAAAAAGCACACTGATTCCTATGAATTCCAAGATGTGCCCCTCTAGACTGTGACCTGCTACCTCGGTTTGGACTCTTTGCTCTTGCAACCAATGCCCCCGCTACTGGCTTAATAGAAGTCTCCTTATCCTTCTTCCTAAGTTGGTAATTCACAAGTGTAGCGGTGACCTCACTATATGAAAGAGATGCCTTCTCATTAATAAGAGTAAGGACGAATGTCTCATATTCCTCGTCGGGTAAGGAACTCAACAATAGTAACGCCTTGTCCTCATCTTCAACAATAACATCTACATTCACCAAATCTGCAAGAAGCTTCGTGTAGTGGTTCATGTGATCACCAATGGATATCCCCTTCTTCAATTGGAAGCAGTAAAGTCTCCTCTTCAAATGCAAGCGATTTTCGATGCTCTTCGTCAAGTACTTTCTCTCTAGGACTTCCCAAATCTTCTTCGCCGAAGTCTCATTCATCATATTATATTTTAGATCTTGAGTGAGACAAGACCTAATCACACCACAAGCTATTCTATTCATTTTCTTCCAAACCTTCTCATCAATGTAGTCTGGTTTCTCGTCCAACTCTAACGTATCTTCCAAATTCTGCGCATTGAGCGCATCCAAGACTTCGCATCGTCAAAGTCCAAAATTGTTAGTGCCATTGAATTTCTCCACGTCAATATTCATCGAGTACATATTCAAACTTTGGACAGTCTTCACGCCTGAAAAACCACCCTTAACACCTTCTTTCCCGGCCATAATCCTCAACACACCACCAAACAATTGCAAAAACGAACAAGAAATAGATCCAAACTTGAAAAAGATAGAATCTTTAAAAAAGATCCCACCTTTATCACCAACTAAAACCCTAGACGAGCTTCCAAATCGATCTACTCCTTCAAATAGCCCAAGCGTAGCCCGAGCTCTGATACCAATTGTTGGGGAAAACCCGTGTCGAGGAACCAAACCAACTGCCGATCAAAGAAGGCAAAATCCAACCAAAATCAATGCACAAACACCAAACACCAGTTTTATCATGGTTCGGTAATTGCCTACGTCCACGGGGCAAGAAGGGGATGAGTTTTTTTACTAATAAAGAATAATAGTACAAATTGAGATTACAAATCACTCGAAGGAACAAACTAATCTCACCACAAAGCTCTTAATCTCTCCAAATAAACCCTAAACAAATAGCTCATAAAATACCTCTTTTCTGTGCTCCAAATATCACAAACTCTAGCCTTCAGAAACCCTAGAACGTATATTGGTATTTATACAAACACCAAAATCCAAATCAGAACAGGAAACTCAAACTGGGCCCTCGGTCGACCGCGCCAAATCCAGACTCCTCCCAGAGTCTGTGCACGTTCGGCAGCTCCCAAACTGACTCCTGTGGATCCCAACACCTGTTCTTCACCAAACTTCTTTACGGTTTCTTCAATAACTTATGATGTTACTAATAGGATGAGCTTCAATTATATGACTCTCTTAATGCTTATTTAGGAAAATGAGTCGTGACCTTCTCCTCATCTATTTTTCCATGTATATAATATATTAAACTAGAACCATTTAGTACCTTAGCAAGCACGACTCAAAACTCAAATGATTGAGAGAAGGAATCTATCTCCTGTTCCCAAAATCTTGAACATACTCATAAAAAAAAACTTTCTAAAAATAACAAGAAAGGATGGATATATGCAAATTATGGAGAAGGAGAGAAAAAGGAGGGAACAATGATGTTACAACCTCAGAAACGTACATCCATTACATTATAATCATATCCCCACCACCACAACCAAACACAAGCCAAAATGCATCACATGCTTGTATACTCTCTCCCCCCTCACCAAAGGTAGAAAAAACATCACAGATCAAATTCCATCCAATCCTTTAGCAAGGTATAAGCCTAAATCTCAACAAAAGAACAATCATTTCAACTCCAAACCAAACTAATTAAAGCAAGAACTCAACTCACACACCCCTCTCTCTCTCTCACATACATACATGCATACATACATTCACAACTCTCTCTCTCTCTCTCTCTCTCTCTCTCTCTCTATCTCCCTCTCCCCCTCTCTCACTAAACACATATTCAATAGTAAATAACTACTAGCTAGTTAGCACATTACCAACTCTACTTACTCAAATGACACACCTAAAGCCTCAAGGAGAGATCAATGTTAGTCTCACTGATCTCCTCACCACTAATAGAATAACTAGCATCCTCACAACCAACATAATTATAACCTTTACCACTACCATCATCATCAACCTCCTTTTGATGAAACCCCCTCTCCCAATTCTGACGATCTACCTCCGCCATCGACGCCACCATCACCGTCTCCCCGCATTCCACATTGGGTCCCGTGTACCGTGCATCCGGGTCATACCCGTACCCGTAGTTAGCCCTCAAGGAATGAGAGCCAATAGCAAAGGGATGGTGACCGTTAGCGGTATGGATGGAGGGATAGTACAACTGAGCATTCCATCCCACACTCCTCTCCTTCTTGTGGGCATTCTGGTGGCCGCCGAGGGCCTGGGACTTGAGGAACTTCTTGTTGCAGAAGAGGCAGGGGAAGAGCCTAACGTCTCGGCCATCGACGTTAATGGTGGATGTTGGCCATGATGGAGATGAAGAAGATGAAGAGGAGTACTCATGAGAAGGAGAGAGAGTGAGAGAAAGGTTAAGAGGGTTAGCAGGAGGAGGAGCCAGAGATGATGCCTCTTGTTGCATCATGTTTGACTATTTTTGGGTAGGAGGGTGCTGAGGAGAGTGGACTGTGAACTCTCTCTGCTACTACTTGGGCTTTTTATTCATGTAAGGAAAGACAAGGACACTGAGAGAAGGACGCCAACCGTGTTAAAATAGAGCAAAGAGCTCTCTTTCTCTATCCCCCTCTTGATTTCATTTATTTTATTTTTATTTTTTTTATTTATTTTTCCCCCCGCCCCTCTCTCGTCATGAGCTCTCCCATTTGATGGAAACGCTTCGTCCGTAGTCCGTGCTCACAAGACCACAGTGGACCCTTAGCCCATCGTGTAGAGGCCCATTCGTGATATTTGCCCCCCCTCAATACTTTCCCTCACCCGTAAAGCTACATTCTCATCTGTTATTTGCAATCATATTTAATGAACAGGTATTATATTATGTAAGCTTCTACTTTATTAGGGATTAATTATCTGGAAATGCTGATATGTCAGTTAGATCTACTCCGACTCGAGATCGACACATAAACCTATAAATAAATAAATAAATAAATAAATAAATATAATTGAACACAAACAGTAACACAATACAATGGAAAAGAGCCAACATTATTTTTTAGGAACTACAAGATGTTCGTCTGTCTCCTGTTGTATGTGAAAAATCCGCGAGTATTTTTCTCTTTAATTACCTCACAAAAGCGGCTCACAGACTTTATGATTTCACATTTGTTTCTTCTCTACATCTTATTCCATCACCCTTATTTATGCAGCTTTTTTTTTCTCAGGACCCTCATTCTTGCTTGCATAACGTTAGACATAATGATTTCACATTTTGTTTTTTTATAGCCAATTATAGAAGGTTACATTTCAACAACATCCACAGGAGACTTGCATAAAGCTACTTTTGAAAATTGATAGTTGCAAACTTACACTGTGACCTGTAAATTATAGAGATATAATATAACATATCTCATACCTTATGGCCCTTCAATTCCCAAAGGGCTTGATAGGAACTAACTAGGCACCGATCCTAAGCAAAATCCAAGGTCGTCTCTAAACTTGTTGTGGACTTCAACATGACTCCATGTTAGAAATAATACAAAACTATAATCCTCAACCCTCATCATAACTTCGGAGTTTTGATGTAATAGTTAGAGAGGCTAAATTGAGACGGTATCATAGCAACCCTCATCTTAACTTCTAAAAATTGACATCGGTACGTGAGTCTAGATTTTAGCCCATAAAAAAGAGACGTCCAACCTACGAGGGCATTGGTAGAATTAATATTAAACTGGTCGGCCTTCATCATAACTTCGGAGTTATAATGTAATTTTAGAGGGACTAAATTTAAGACTCCGTCTGGAGTCAAATTCCCATGCAAGCTCCTTTAGAAATCCAAGTTTGCTATAAATTTTTCTTGAGTGTGATTGAATATATCATTACGTGCGAAGCTTCACCTCAACCTAATATGCTCCCACACACAACTCTTAAAAGAGAAATCAAGCCATTCCATAGTCTTGTTCCAGACTTCACTAGGGTACAAACATAAGAAAAACAAATGTGAATGGTCTTCCAGATTGGATACACATATATAGCACACACCTGTTTACTTGCGATATCCCCATTCGCTGCGTTCTGTCTTGTGTCGTCAAATTAATTTTTTCTGAAGCACCAACCACGTTATGAATGAGTGTTTGGGGAAGCTTAATGTACTCCAAGCAGTCTTATGCCCAAGCACAACAGGACCATTCCCTACCAAGCTATGATACACCTAAGAGACATATAACTTACCTCCTCTACTTATGTCATTCAATTTGTGAATAACACCTTTAGCAGATCGACCCCCACACAGAAATCGCATAGTCCACACACTTGAGTATCTGTTTCCAGCACCAACAATCTCTCCCTCTGACATGCACATCCCAAATATTAGACCTCTTTAATTAATGTTCATGCACCCATTTAATCTATAGTGATCCTTTTTTAAGGTGTAATTAAGTCCCATATTAAACACAAAGTAGAAGATTGACTCCACGTTATTTGGGGAGAAAGTTGATGTATTCATTGACGAGTTCATTACAACTTTAAACATTACAATGAAAACAAAAAAGTTAGTCTTTTTATAAGACGCTTACACAATGAAAACAAAAAAAGTACAACTCTCGTCAAACAGCGCAACGGATGTTTATCGCCCGCTGCTTGCATGGGATCTTGGCCTGTGACAGGGATGTTGATATCCGTGGACTACCAAACGATCAGATCAGATCTGGAGCTTCGTTGATTCACGAAGGAATCACGAAACCGAAGGAATTATCTCGGCAACAACGAGATAATCACTCTTCTCGAGATCACCGCAACGGGGTAATCTTAAGGAAAGAAACCGAGAACTGTAGATCTGACGAGCTCCTCTTCTTTATGCTGACGAACTCTATCCAATCTTCTCCTTTCTTATGAAATTCATGCTCCTTCAGTTTTCAATTCAGAAGGGCTTCGCCAATGCTTGAGAATTCTAGATCTGAAAAAATAAAGGCCTGGGGCTGTATTTATAGGCTTCGGGAGCTCTGTTTTTGGATAATAATGGTTGATTCACTCTTATCTTTAGTTGTAACCACTTTATCACGTTCTTGGATAGGTTTAGATCAGTTAAAACAAATCCAGGTGGTTAACGGTCGAAAAACGGCACAAAACAGCCGAAAATAGATTTTCGGGGCTGCGGACACCCATAGGTGTCTTGGCCAAGCATTGGCCGAGACACCACTTGGTGTCTCGGCCATGGTTTGGATGAGACACCACTTGGTGTCTTAGCCAAACTTTGGCCTGAACTTGATTTCACGCGTTCCGTCCGTTTTTGCCGTATCTTCATCGTCCGAACTCAAAATTACGTGGTTTAAGATGTGTCGAAAAGCTAACGAGGAGATCTATAAGCTCTTACAGTTGAATCACATGTTAAGTAGACGGGACATGAGGGGTGCTTCGTCTTTTGTAAGCGACGCATAGCTCCTGATCAGTTCGTGTTTGGTTATTCTGAAGTTCCGTTGCTTCGCATGGTTCGTCGACTCACTTCATGCGCTTGTCATCATCAAATGAGCTTCTGTGACTCGGATAGCGACATTCATCGTCTTCTCTTTATCTCGAGCCACGTGCGGGAACCTATAGGTATTTTTAGATGCCTACAGATACCCCCTCTAAAGTGTTTTAGTCTCGTTTTTTTTATAGAGGAGGCTGAAATACTCTGAATGTGATCGGTCTAACCTTCAGTCGGTGTAAAGGACCCGTAGTTAGCTTTGATTCTTGACTCCTTTGATTTTCAGTCTATTCAATATTTTTACGAAATAGCTAAAAAAATTTCGATGCTGTATTTATTGTCTGGCCGTCGTTGAAGTCTCAAATCAAAAAACGGTGAGTTGATTTTGGCTTGTGTCATTGAATTAACTTTGAACTAATTATCTCTGTGGCAACGTGTTGACCGGCGTTGACTCAGAGCCCGACATTGTATTTCATCACAACGCGTTGACTAGCGTTGACCTATGGTTACGCGTTGACCAGCGTTAACCTTAGGGTTTCGGATCGCCCGGTGTTGACTTTTTATCGCAATGCGTTGACTGTCGTTGACCTATGGTTACGCATTGACCGACGTTGACTTTAAGGTTTCAGATCAATCACCGTTGACACAGTTTATACTCGTACGTTTCCTAGAGTATACACAGTTTAAGCTCTTAAGGTATTGAAGTATGGTGATCCCAAATATTAGGGCTACAGGACTACCTGTTAAAGCTGATTCATCTGTATGTATGAATCTAATCCTGAAGTTGTTGGATCATCAAGGTACGAGACCAACTAATAAAGCTGGTGCATCAATAACGCTCACATTTATAGGATTTTTGGCAAATCCTCAGCCATCAACGAGTTTGATGAGTCTTTACCGACTACCGTTTGAGTCGGGCTAGCATGCGGATTGTTTAAGTCCGTTCCGCATATAGCATTGTTCTAAGAGAGTTAACTCCCTTAGTGCTATGATATTGAATACGTAGACTTTATCTTTCTCATGGGAATTGACTACCCAACGACGTGTGTTAGACATAGACTTGGGTTTTTTGGCAAACCCTCAGCCTTCAACGGATTTGACATGCCTTTACTGACTACCGTTTGAGTCGGGCTAGCATGTGAATTATTAAAACCCTTTTCACATGTGACGTTGTGCTAAGAAAGTTAACTCTCTTAGTGCTACGATATTGAATACGTAGGCTTCGTCTTTCTTACGGGAATAGACTACCCGGTAACACGTGTTAGGCGCTGACTCATCTCTACTTAGACATCGGGATAAAAATTCCCAGATTTGGATTCTGGTGTCTTCTTCAATCGGTGAAAGACTAAACCGGTAACGCGTGTTAAACACTAACTTATCCCTACTTAGGATTCGGGATAAAATTCCCCGTACGTATAAGGAATGGATTATGGTGTTATTAATAATAACCTGCTACAATATTGAATATGTAGGCTTTCATTCTTTTTACGGTCAAAGACTAACCGGTAACACGTGTTAGGCACTGACTTATCCCTTTTTAGGCTTCAGGATAAAATTCCCCAGACTAGGATTCTGGTGTCTTCTTCAATCGGTGAAACACTAAACCGGCAACGCGTGTTAGGCGTTGACTTATCCTTTCTTAGGATTCAGGATAAAATTCCCTACGCGTGTAAGGCACGGATTTTGGCGTTTTTTACGGTCAAGAACTAACTGACAACGCGTGTTAGACACTGATTTATCCCTTCTTAGGCTTCGGGATAAAATTCCCCAGACTGGGATTTTGGTATCTTCTTCAATTGGTGAAAGACTAAACCGGCAACGCGTGTTAGGCGTTGACTTATCATTTCTTAAGATTCAGGATAAAATTCCTCGCGCATATAAGGCACGGATTTTGAGAGTTGAAAAGTAGTGTCTTCTCTTGGGGTAAAGACGAACCCGATGCTAGAGAGGAAGAATTTTATATTCTATCACCAGTTGTAAAAGAAACTCAAAATGGGATCTCTACTTCGAGAATCTGAAGAGTGAAACTAAGAGTGAGATCTTCACTTCAGGAATCGAAAAGATTCGGATAATCCTAACTATCGAAAGGTTTGATTACCGAACTAAAGATGAATTTCTCATTTATCGAAAGTGAATTGTGGTTTTGACCCTAACTGTAAAAATGTTTGACCAAGCAGGAGTTTGA